CTCCTCATTGCCCTTTTCCTCCTGTATTTTCTTCATCTGGAAGCTCTCACTCTTCTTCTTCTTCCATGAAGCCACACTGCCCACACCTCAGCTGCTCTCTGGCAACAGATGATGTGGAGGAGCTGTTGAGGAACAGAGTGAAACCCAGCTGCATCCACCAATCCTCTAGGAAGGGAGCTGCTGGCATGGAAAAATCATAGAAACATGGAATGGTTTGGGTTGGAAGTGAACTTGAAGATGGGCTTGTTCCATCCCCCTGCCGTGGGCAGGAACATCTTGCACTAGACCAGGTTTCTCAGAGCCTGGTCCAACCTGGCCTTGAATTCTCTGGGTGGGGAATTCCTGACTAAGAAATTCCTGCTCTTCCCTGGACTCTCTGCTCTCTGGCTGTAACTGAGGGATGGGAGAAGAATTCACCTCCTGAGCAGCCTGGCCTCCTTCCCTGCCAGCTCCACTTATCCCTCCCCAGTCTGGGAGCTGCTGGAAGGGGATGGGATGGAGGAAATGGTTTTCCCACAGGACACTGAGCCCAGAGCAGGATGTGTGATGAGCTGTACAAATGATCTTCCTGGAAATGTCTGATTAGAGGATAATCACCATTTTCCTACTTCTTGGTGGGTTTGGAGGCTCTCAGTTACAGGGAATGGTCACTGTTTTCCTTGTGCTGGGATAAAATATCTGAGTGTGTGTGTGTGTGTTCCTGGCTACAGAAAACACGGATTGTTTTGATCGACAAAAAGGATTCCAGAGGAGCTATTTTATGGCTCTGTAATGACTATTGGGGTGACAATCTAAATCTACACTGTGGGGTTGTATCCCTTCCACTGCACTTATCCCTAACTGGGAGATCAAGGACAGGAGGAGCCAGGGAAGAAGATAAGGACTGAGCTGCTGTTATGAAAATGCAATCTTGAAATCCTCCTGTGCTGAGTGGGATGTAGTGCTGCTAGCCAGGGTTGTTTTGCAGTGACTCAGGGCATTGTTATTCTACAGGTTTTCTTATTCTTAATTAGTGATTTTAGAAAGGGATATAGGATGAAAATAGAAACAAATGGATATTAGGTGGTCTCAAGGGACTGCGCAGTTGTGGACTTAGAACTGAAATTCTTACCATTTATTGCCTATTTAGTGAGAGTTTTACACAGAACACAATGAGGGAAAGCACAGGAGTGGTAACACATGTATCAAATGAATAAACAGCATCCTGTCAGATAAATGCAGGAAAGTGTTCCTGTGTTTTTACCACTGTCCCTGTGCTGCCCATTTCATACAAAATATATAATATCAGTTCCTACACTTTGTAAATAAACCAATACTCGAGTTCATGACCTGTCCAGAGGTGGTTTGGTTTGCTTTGATCCAAAGCCTTTGGATGAAGCTCCTGCAGCTCTTTGGGAAACGAGTGTTCACACCAATACTTACAGTTTAATTCACTCGAGAGATGTGACTGCTCGGGAAAACAGAGCCTTTATTGCCTGTCAGAATTCCTTAAGGTTTATCCCTCCACACTTGGCAGTGTGCCTGTGTTGCTCAGCTCTCTTCTCCTGCTTCAGCTGTGTTAGAACTTCACTGAAAGCCTTTGAAGTAGAGACTGAGCTCTAAAAGATTCCCAACCTTGTCTTCCTTGTCCACCAGCCTGTTGTTCTTACACACCTCGACCACATTCAGGGCCTTTTGTGCTGTTCTGTGACCAAAGGGAATGTGTACCCTGATCCATCTCGGAATCCCACATGGATGGTCCCATCTCCTCCGTGCTCTGAGGAACCTGGAAACACCTCAGAGCAGGTTTTCAGTCTGGTCCCTGTGGACCCCAGCTGTCCAGGAATAATTTCACAGTGTCTGTGAAGAGGGAAAGAATAAAGAGTTCTTGGAGGATGAGTAGAATTGGAGAATTTCTGAAGGGATCTTCTCCTCAACTGGAAAAACTCACAGGGCTCAAAGATTACAAATATATGAAAGACACTCTAGTAGGCATTTAAATTTAAAATATTTCTAAAGGCCTTGCAGTAAGAAAAAATTCCTTCTATTCCAGGATCTTGGAAGGGCCTCGGGCATTGCAGTAGGAACCATCCAGGTGCTGTGACAGCCTCTCTCCTCATGTGGTGGTATCTCAGTTGGACTCCAGGGGTTGTACAAGGAGAGGACAAAAGCAGATAGCACAGAAATTACCTGTCAAGATGCTCAGTGGAAGAACCAGGACAGGATTTCACACCTCCTCTACCTCAGCCCAGTGGTTTCCTCCCAGTGACCTCCACACATCTGCCTGGAATTGTAGGGTAATTCAGGCTGGAAGGGACTTTTGGAGGGTTGTAGTTCACTTCCAGCTCCAAGCTGGAATCAGCTCAGCCAACACTTCCCTCCCACAGTGGTGGGACACAGGAGCAGGACCGGGCCTGGTTGGTGGCAGGCAGAGGGGGCAGAGGTGGCTGTGGCTCTGCTGGGGAAGGGTTGCTGCTGCTCTGAAGTTACCTCAGATCTCCTGAAGGAGCTGTGACCAGAGGTGCTCTTGTTCCAGTGGGTTGGGTCACCCTACACAGTGCAATCCTAAATGTGTTCTGCCCTTAGTGGGTTTGGTTGAGTTACATTTATGGAGGGCTCATGAAGCTGCTCTGCCAGCAGACCTGGAGCATTTTCTTCAGGGCCCCTGTGATGCTTTAATTACGATGAATAATCCAATAATAATCATAAATAAAAAATATAATTATAAATAATAAATATAATTATAAATAACAAATGCAATTATGAATAATTATAAATAGACATTTAATTATGAGAAATAATATTATAATATTATAAATGCTCCATGAGAGCATGAATTGACCAAGATACATTTGCATGTATCTTGTTTTTGTACCGTGGAGGACACAACACCCGGGTGTGCAGGAATATCCACCCCATCCCTCGTCAAATCCATGGAATCCTTCCTGTGTTCAGCAGTTGCTGCTGCTTGGAGAGGGATCTGAAACCCTGGCTCTGGGAAAGACAGTGGGAATTGTGCTGCTGGGCTCAGGGAGGGCAGGAATTAACATCCAAACAGGGCTTTGCTCAAGATTAGGTTGTGTTAATACTGTTGTTAATGAAAAGAGGACTCAGCTCTGGTTTTAATCAGTTCTGTGCATAACAGGAGGGAAAAATCATTTTGCATCAGACACATTTTTGCTTCCATCCCCTTCCAAATCTGTCCCCAGTCATTGCACAGCCTTGGTCCTCCTGGCTGTTGTTTTTGTGTGCTGTTGGAAAGGTTGAATTTCTGGCTGCTGGGAGCAAGGTCAAGGGCTCTGAAGGCAGTGGCCATTCACCCAGAGTGTGTCTGCATCAAAAAAAGAGTCCCCAAAGTGTGTCTACATCAAGAAAAGAGCCCCCAAAGCATTATCTCCATAAAGGAAATGCTGTGGTCTTCATTAAACCAACATCTAATGCTGAGTACAAGCTCTGGCCACTTGCTCTGGAAACATCTGGAGATGAAAGAGAGAGTCCAGCTGGAAGGGCCACCGAGGCAATGGGATGGTCTTGGAGTGTCTGAGGGACAGATGAAGCAGCTGCAGCACAGTTATCACCCTAAATGCTGCCCCCAGACACAGGACTTCCAAATTTAAAATCAGAAGTGGATCTCAGAGGCTGTTCTGCCCTGATGGGAAATGTTTCTGGAGTTGGCCTGGCTTGAAGGAGTGAGATGTTCAAGAGCTGACGGTGCCTGCCAGGAGTTGAGCAGCAGTTATTCATCCCAGAGAGCCTTTGCACAACCCTTTACCTGCACAGGCACTGCAATTTTAACATCATTCAGTGGAGCTCTGTGCCAGCCCATCATCTGTGGGGTTTGGGAGAATGGTTCAGGCTTTCAGCTTCCATCCTTGCTTTGAGTTGCAAAGTATTCATTATTTCAGACCACGAAAGAGGGGATTTTAACAGTGCCAGAGAAAATAAGCAGATGGTGGAGGGAATGGCAGAAACATGACAGGGCTGCCCTGCTCTCCAACCATCTGGTTTGGACCTTAGTGGGTGTTTGGACCTCGGGTGGATGTTTGGAGCTCGCCCACACTCAGTGCATGGGCAGCAGACATGGGGCTGGGAAGGGACGGGGCATGAACAGCCCACAGACAAGGATCTGACCTCAGGGAAACAGGCAGATCCTTGTTCCCCTCTGTAACAAGGGGTTCTGAATTCCACCCACCCCAGCTGAGCTGCCTGTGGTCCCCCTGCAGTGACAGTGGGTGAGGGCTCAGTGTCACTCCGGGGTTTGGCAGGGCCCCTCTGGCTCCCTCTGACCCTTCTGCACATCAGGGCTGAGCATTTCCTGCTGCCTGACCCAACTAAAATGCAGCAATAAAATTCAGGATAGAGCTGGGTCTTGCTCTGGGGTCCCCAGAACAGAAAGGACATGGAGCTGCTGGAGAGAGTCCAGAGGAGACATCAGAGGGATGGAGCAGCTCCGCTGGGAGGAAAGGCTGGGAGAGTTGGGATTGTTCAGCCTGGAGACAAAAAGGCTTTGGGGTGACCTAATTGTGGCCTGTCACTACCTGAACAGACTCCAAAAGAACTGGAGAGGGACTTTGGACAAGGGTCTGGAGTGACAGGACAATGGGGAATGGCTTCCCACTGGCAGAGGGCAGGGATAGATGGGATATTGGGAAGGAATTCTTGGCTGTGAGGGTGGGGAGGCCCTGGCACAGGTTGCCCAGAGAAGCTGTGGCTGCCCCATCCCTGGGAGTGTCCAAGGCCAGGTTGGAGGAACCTGGGCTAGTGGAAGGTGTCCCTGCCCGTGGAACTGGATAAGCTTTGAGGTCCCTTCCAACCCAAACCGTTCCATAATTCTGGGATGATTTTTCAAAAGAACATTTGTTCCACTGGGTCAGACACATTCAGTTCCCTCAGTGGCAGCAGGCCCAGGGCACACTGTACACCAGCCATGGGCTCTGAACCCCTCTGAAGAGGAACAGGATCTAAAACTAAGGTAGAGAGCCTTAGATAAACTGCCAGCTCATTTCAACACTGTGCCACAGCCTTTCCAAGCATAAAGAATGAGGAAGGCTGGGGCCAAAACATTGGAGAGCTTAGGAAACATTGTCAGCCTGGCTTTGAGCATTGAGAAGGTGCAAAGTACCTCCTGTGTGTGTGTGTGTTCATGTGTGTGTGGACTCACAGACCCCACCCCAAATCATGTTCCCTCTGGCTTTGCCTCCTCTTGTTCCAAGCTCATGAGCTGCTCTTTTGAGGAGTTGTTTGAGCAGGTTCTGCAGAGAGATTGGGCCAAGTCACAGCCACTCACATCCCTGCAGGAACATCCCTGGAGGAGCTTGGCTCCCTTCCAGCCCCTTCCCCATCAGGCTCTGCTGGGAGGAGATCTGTAATTCCAGATCCCAAATGCTGCAGTTGGGATGTGCTGGAGTTGGCAGGCCTGGAAGGAGCTTGGTGGAGCTGGGTCCTGTCAGCTCAGGAGCTGCTCCATCACACCCCAAGCTGTCTCTGCATCAATAATTCTGCTTCAGAGCTGCCTCTGATGGTTCAAATGATCCATGGCATTGTTCCCCCCTCCTCCTGCCACTCCCTACATGGAACAGTGTTAGTCCAAAGAACCGTCTACAGATAATTCTCTCTGAAGGGTTTATGGGCATGAAAAATAGATCAAAATTCTGTTGAGCTATTTATGCTGCTTTATTTTTACAGCTTTGACAGAAATGGGAATAGGAAAATGAGATCAAGATGCTTTTGGTACGTTACTGGAAACAGAATAATAAAGAAAAGAGCAACCTCCAAACAGTACAGGGTCAGATCCTGCAGGTAATTTCTGTACCAGGAGTGTCTAAAGCCCAGCAGGTTCTGCTCCTTCTGAGGGCTTACAGGGATTGTTGATGCTGTTTGGAAGGCACTTGTCTTTTAGGAGTCTGTAATAATCTTTGCATTATACTGTTACAACATAATCAGGTCCTTGTCATGCTGCCAAGCCTGATAACATCAGAGCACTGAGGAATTGCAGCTCTAAACTTATTAGGAAGACCCAGATCCATCCCAAGGTATTTCCAAAGCACTGGAGCTCTGTGCTCTGCAGGGATGTGTTCTCAGCCAGGTGGCAGCTGGGGAGGGACAGATTTTTGGCTCCAGCTCCAGCAAAGACTGGGAGTCCAGGTGTGAGAGCATCTCTCAAGATGAGATTTAAAAATACTGTGTTCCTCTTTTCAAAAAAAAAAAATTGGGAGCACTAAACCTGCAGAGCTACAGTGGCTCTGCTACAGTTTAATTTTGCAGCAATTAAAGCATCAATCCTGATGCACTGGGAAGCAAAAAGCTGCTTTTCAGCTGTTCTTCCAAGCCAGGAGGATGCGGGCACTTGTCATTCCAAGGAATCCTCCCCACGCTGAGCTTTGTGATCAGAGTCTTTTAATTCCAGCTTCCCACCAAGGCCATTCCCACAGATCTTATCTGGTGATAAAGTCAAATCCATACCTATTGCATGTCTTGTGTTGTAGGTGATGCACTATTTAGGAGGGGTTGTGTTGCATTTGTTGGGGAAGCACAGCATAAAATTTTCCTTGGAAAAGCCTCCAGCTGGAGCAAACTCCCCTGTGGGGAGGTGTCACCCCCTGCTCTGCACTGGGGGCAATCTTGCTTTATTCTGACCTCTGCAAAACCTCAAATGTTAAACTATTTATGTTCCCTGCTGAGTTAAGAGGGTGAAAAGTGTATTTATTCCCCGGTGTTGCTGCAGGTTGGGGTTTGTGGAGTGGATTGTGCACCTGCTTTGGCATTTTAAAGTAGTCATTCTGTAAGGAATTAATTCAGTCCTCTCAGCAGGAAAGGGAAGACATTTGGACACTGGACAATTTGGGCATTTCTCTTATTGCTCTGGCACAAGACAGACAGGAGCCTGTCCAAAGTATCATCTGTAAGGATAAAAAGTGAGAAAAGGAATGCCAAAAAGGAGAAAGAGAATGAATTTTTTAATATCTGTTATAACCCTCTCCTCCCACTTCCGTTCTCTGCTGGAGTGGGGGTGGGCTGAGATGGTCAGGTTTGGATATGGTCCATTCAAAATTCCTATTTTAAGGAGATGGCACATGATTACCCTGCCTGATCTTGTTGGAAACGATAGAACCTTTTAAATAACTTTACTTAATGGTTTTAATCAACTTTTAAGTAATTGTTTTAATTAATCATAACCAATATCTATTAATTATAAATAGTGTGTTATTCTTAAATTACTTACTTTTAATTACTCTTATCCAGAGTTTAGCAAAGTTGTCATAAGGTCCTTTTGTGGGAAAATAGCTTGGGAAAAGTAATGAAACTTTAAGTTTTGATATACTAACTCTGATCTCCTTCAATGAACAAAGCCTGGGAGGGAAGGATGGACTGTTGGACATCTGGAATGCAGAACTTATGGACCACAAGGACATTTTGCAGAAACAAAAAGATAAAGAAGAGATTCAGTATTCGTGTTGGAAACTCCCTAACAGAGGAAAAAGACCCTAAAAAGACTAAAAATATGAACTAATTAACATGAACAGTGAGGAATTAATAACCAATAGTGGATAGAATACTGATTAATGAAAGAGAATTATGTTGCTCAGAACCAATGAACATTCATTACTTTGTTTGCTAAAATGCATAAAGAGGTGAAAAGGTTTTGCATCAGGGTCTGTGTGGAGGCCAAGATTTTGCTGGTCACACACAAACCTCCTGGCCAAGAATAAAGTAATTTATGCTCACTAACACTAAAAAGAGTTTTATTATCCTGATAATTTTGGAAGGATTTAGTGACAATTTGGCTGCTTGGCCCTGATCCTTTGGGAAAGGTTTTCCAGGGGCTCATGACAGAAGAAAGAAACCCACAGGTACAGCAAGGAAAGTCCTTTTCCTGTTTCAGCAGGATGTGGAGTCTCCTTTGCTTTTTCCTAGAGGTTTCCAAGGGAATTCATTAGTTCAGGATGAAGCTGGGTTGGGATTTCCAGCAGGATCCCAGAATGTGCTGAGTGGGTGGTTCCTTAACTCACCTTCATGTAATTCAGCTCCCCACTCTGATGGTTCCAGGAGAGAGTGGCATTTACAGGAGACTGGAGGAGCATTTCAGTGATGATATAGGACACAACATCTATCTCTCTATAAATATACACATAAAAATATGAAATATCAGCCAGCCTGCTGGGTGTGAGGGTTCTGCAACGTGACTGTCACCCATAAACAGCCCCCAGCCAACGATGTGGAGGTGTTTATTTACCAGAATTGGGATTTAACAGGCTGGCTGGGGGATGTGTGTGTCACCACAAGCCTTGTGACAGGGAAACAAAAGTCCTCCTGCTGAGTGGGCACAAGGGTTTTGGGGTATTGCTGAGCACAGAGCTTTGGGGGAGCGACCCCTTCATCCCATTCCTGACCCCTTTGCTGCTCTGGCACCTTGAGGAGCAGCACAGCCTGGGCCCTGGGGACACCCTCCTGTGGGGACATGGGATGGGAGACAGCAAAGTGGGAGCAGAAAGGATGGAAAGGCTGGGAATGTATCTGTGCATGTTGTTTGTTCTGACAAAAGGAATAATTTGGAGAGATACCGTCTCCCAGAACTGCACAAAGGAGCACGTGGAGAAATGATTATTTCTCTGCCTTTTTTTTTGCTGTTTCTCAATTTTCTTATTTAGCTCTTTGTTCTGATACATTCTGTATTATTTTAGCTTTCCTGAGTAATTGTGTTTTTCCCTTAACTTTGGAAGTTACGTGGGAAAGAAGGGAGGGGGTTGAAGATAAGGCAACGCTGTTAAATGGGAAATCTATGGCTAATTAAGGCCTGGCTTTGCTAATCACCTTAGAAATGAAGTTATCAGCTGAAAAAGCCTGGAGTTGGTGCAATGAAAGTTTGGAATGGGCCTTTCCCCCCCTCTTTCCTTCTGTCACAATGCATTCAGAGATTAAAAGTTTACCTTGCAGACAGATCTTGACACCACGAGACATGTTGTCTCTTCGCATTATCTGCAGGAGGCTGGAGCTGCTCTGGGATGGATTTCAGTTGGAATAGTTAAAATTTGGCAAAGATATAAACAAATAAAGTCAGGATCCTTTAATGGGAGCTGTCAGTGTTTATCACAGATGTCACAGCACACTCCAGCTGGAGCTCCATGGCCAGGACAAGAGAGAGTCACTGTCCCTTCTCCTCCTTCTCCTCCTTTTCCTCCTTCTCCTCCTTCTCCTCCTCCTCCTCCTTCTCCTCCTCCTCCTTCTCCTTCTCCTTCTCCTTCTCCTTCTCCTTCTCCTTCTCCTTCTCCTTCTCCTTCTCCTTCTCCTTCTCCTTCTTTCTTCTGGTTCTTCTGCTTCCTCTTCCTGTTCGTCTTCTTCTGTTTCTTCTCCTCTTCTTCTTCTTCCAATAATAATAACAACAATAACTATAATATTATAATTGTTGTTATAATTACTGTTCTGCAGAGTCCAGGTGCCCACACTGTGGTTTCCCCCTGGAGGTGCTGGGACAGGACCCCACCCTGGCACTGCTCTGGCTGGAGGAGGAGGAGGCACCAGCCCCAGTTTCCCCTCTGCTCTTGCAGAATTCCTTTTCCCCACCGTCATCTTTCCTTGTGCAAAATCCAGCTGTGAGCCCGAGTTCCCTTGCAGGGCTTGCAGTGAGGAGAAGGGGGATGTTTGAGTTCTGCTGACAGAACAGGGGAAGCAGCTCCTGCCTCAGTGTTTGCTGATGAAAACACTCTCCTGCAGTTAATAATTGTGTCTTCCCCTTCCCTGGCAGTGGCACCACAGCACTGCTCCACTGCCTGCAGGAGGCTGGGGAGGGGACCAAGTTTTCTTAATATTTATGCATTAAACCTCTATTTTCTAGGTTTTTCCCTGCTCTTTTGTTAGAGTTGTGGCTGTACCTTCCCCTGTGGGTGTCCTGTGCTGCTCAGTGGTGCTGGCTGGGCTCCAGTGCTGCTCCCCTGCACCCAGGGGAGCCCCAGGGATGGGCAGAGAGGACAGCACAGGGTGGAGGAAGCAGCTCTGACCTGTTGGAAGGATTGAGGTGGGGGCCAAGGCAGCAGCCCCTCGTGCTCAGCAGCATCTGAGCATCCAAACCCATCTCCTGGAATCATGGAATCATAGTCATAAAACCATTAGGGTTGGGAAAGCCCTCCCAGCCCATGGAGTCCACCCTGTTCCCGATGCCCACCCTGTCCCCCAGCCCAGAGCACTGAGTGCCACCTCCAGTCCTTCCTTGGACACCTCCAGGGGTGGGGACTCCCTGGGCAGCCCCTTCCAGTGCCTGACCACCCTCTCCAGGAAGAAATTCCTCCTGATGTCCAACCTGACCCTCCCCTGGCACAGCTTGAGGCCATTCCCTCTCCTCCTGTCCCTTTTCCCTGGGAGCAGAGCCCGAGACCCACCTGTCTCAAAACTCCTTCCAGGGAGTTGCAGAGAGCAAAAACATCCCCCCAAGGCTCCTTTTCACATCTGCAGAAGCTTCTAGAAAGTGAATTGTCAGTGCAGTGTCAGCTGTACTCCGACATTTCACTGCTTGAGACAAATGGTTCCTTTTTCCACGTTGAACTCTTAGCACATTTTGCTTGGAAAATAATTGCAAGTGTCTCACCCAGCAGCTTTCTGCAAAACGCATCAAAGATCTCTGGGTGATGGATTTGTTTCCTGTTTGTTTCCCTGGGATTTCTTCACTAGTATTCAGTGTTAACTGGTTATTTATAAATGCCAGCCTCTTTCCATGGGTTTTGATCCCTCCTGTGTGTGGAGTGATGGAGACATTATTGAGTCACCCTCATTCACTGGAGGGGAATGATTCTATTTTTAATTCTGCATCACTTTCTGGGTGAATGAATGGCAAGTTAATGGTCATGTGGGAATCTGAATGTCAGAAAACAAGGGGGAAACTTGAGACTTGCTCATCATATTTAACCTGCTGAGTTACATCATCTCCCTTGAGCCTTAAATGTGCCTTTAGGGGCCAGCCATGGAGAGGGACCTGGGACAAGGACATGGAGTGACAGGACAAGGGGGAATGGCTTCATACTGAAAGAGAGCAGGGTTAGATGGGATATTAGGAAGGAATTGTTGGCTGTGAGGGTGGGGAGGCCCTGGCACAGGTTGCCCAGAGAAGCTGTGGCTGCCCCTGGATCCCTGGAAGTGTCCAAGGCCAGCTTGGAGCAACCTGGGCTAGTGGAAGGTGTCCCTGCCCATGGTAGGGGGTGGGAATGAGATGATCCTTAAGGTCCCTTCCAACCCAAACCATCCTATGATTCTATGATTTCATCCTTTGTAGGATGCAATATAAAGACTCTGCCTTGTTAAATAGGCTAAACATGAATTAATTTGACAACACCTATTTCTTTTATTAGTTTTGATGTGCTGGTTCTTGATTACCTAATTTCTTGATTACCCTTCCATTAGGAGATAATTCTTCAAGAGGTTAGAAAAACTCCAGGCTGATTGTCCTGTTAATGCTGTTCTTTGCAGCAAATGAATGGACTGTGGGTTTATTTGCCATGAACATGAAAAATCCAATAGGGTTCCTTAATAGGAAGATAGTCTCTGTGTTGAAGGTCTTTTGTGGGACAAATGGGGACATAAATGAGGATTCCCAAAGAACCTTCTGCCCTCAGGGTCTGAGAGCTACAGGTTGGGACATCAGGGCAGGTGAGGATGGAGATCCACTGAGTCCTTCTGGTTGTCTCATGTTGGCACCGAGAGAACAAATTCTGGGGCCTTTCTCTGGGGTTCAGTCATGGTTAGTGCAGGGATAAAACAGCAGAACTCTTCAGAAATGCCTCATAAACCCAGATTTCTTAAAATTTATGCTGACAGGTCAGGCTTTGTTTAGCAGATGGAAGTCTGGTCTTTCCTTGTGTAATTTTTGGATTTAATTTGTATTGATCTCTCTGGAACTGACTCATGGATGTGTACACAGGCACTCAGGTTACTCCAATAGATGAATTTCCAGGTAGTTTGTACAAATATTCCAGAAATTTAAGAAAGTTGACATGGATTACTTAACTAAAGCACAGAAGGACAACAGTGGGACTGTGTGACTGGAGGCAGGCTGCTGGAAAATGACATTTTAATTAATTTTACAGTTTTAAAATAATTCTTCTGACCTCAAATCAGGATAAAACCAAACAAATCCCCAAACCTACAGAAACAGGTGGTGCTGGGGTCACCCAGGACTGGCAGGTTTATTCAGTGTTGTGGTTGAACCCAGCACCTCTGGGAGCACCCAAGGGCAGAACTCAATGTTCTGATTTCACCAAGAGGTTGAGAAACTAAAGAACTGAGCAGGTAAGAAACACAGGCAGTTCCTGTCTATTGCCTTGGGAATAAAACTTTATAAATATATATATTTTTTTCCTTTAGAACTGCTTTGTTCTGTTCTGGTTTGCTCCGTTGCAAATCTTGGAGCAGACCTGGAGGGCTTGGCTGGGCAGAGGTGGGGTGTGGGAGGATGGGAGGGATGATGACCCTCTCAGAGCTCAGCTCTGAATTCACTCTGCAGGCAGGAAATTGTATTTAAAAGTCTTCTGAGAGGTCAAACAGCAGAGCAGGAGCAGGATGGGGTTTTTCTGCTTCACGTTCATGCACAAACCAATAAAATGGAGCTCATTTTTGGTGTGGGCTCCTCCTGCAGCAGGAGAGAGAACAGCAAGAGGAGCACCGAGGAAGGTGTCCTTGTTTGGGTCACCTGGGCTTGGGACATGCACGTGCCCCGCACTGGGGGGGCTAAAACTCCCCCTCAGAGGTGCCCTGGGGCAGCTGATCCAGGCAGGAGGCTCCTGGTGCTGCTGGAAGAGCCAACGGAGCAGGGTCGGTAAAAATCCGGGACCACAGATGGGAGGAAAGGTGGTGAGCCTGGAAGAGATCCCAGAAACACTGGGTGTTATAATAACTGTGCAAATTGCTAATGCAGAGCAGGCTGCAGAATAGGGAACAGTGGCATTATTAGGCCTGCTTGGCATATGTGTTTGGAATGGTTTGCTGGTGTCCTGCAGACCTGGCTTTGAGGTAAATAACTTCTCAGTGGTGACAAACAGGGAGGGAAAAGAACCCAGGTGTGGCAAGTCTTCCTGCAAATTCCCTTCTCTGTGAGATAAGAAGAAGATCTTAAAAGATTTGATAACTTGCAAAGTGTGATTTAAGGGAATTTTAAAGAGCACGTGAAAGAACAATAATGAACAAATGTTTTCAAGTGGGAGAAATCTGTCCCTGCCATATGTTCCACTGACTCATCCCTTCTGCAGGAGGAGATCTTGCAATTGTTTGAACTGTTCCAGTTGCTTAATCCTTTTTATTTGGGAGCAGCATCACTGTAAACTCAGCTCTGGATCCTACACGGTGTGACAGCACCCAGGGAATGGCTGGAGCTGTGTCAGGGCAGGCTCAGGTGGGATCTCAGCCAAAGGTTCTTCCCCCAGAGGCTGTTTGGGCACTGCCCAGGCTCCCCAGGGCAGTGGGCACAGCCCCAAGGCTGCCAGAGCTCAGGGAGGGTTTGGCTGATCCTCTGGGGCACAGGGGGTGACTCTTGGGGCTGGGCCTGTGCAGGGCTGAGGGTTGGACTCCGTGATCCTTGGGGGTCCCTTCCAACTCAAAACATTCTGTGATCCTGCTGGAAATCCCAACACAGCTTCATCCTGAACTAATGAATTCTCTTGGAAACCTCTAGGAAAAAGCAAAGGAGACTCCACATCCTGCTGAAACAGGAAAAGGACTTTTGTTGCTGTACCTGTAGATTTCTTTCCTCTGTCATGAGCCCCTGGAAAACCTTTCCCAGAGGATCACGGCCAAGCAGCCACATCAGGCTATTCATGATATACCAGATCTTGGTATTAATGTGCCATCTCCTTAAAATATGATTTTTGAATGGACCTGACCATCTCAGCCCACCTCCATGCCAGCAGGGAATGGAAGTGGGAGGAGAGGGTTATAACACACTATAAAAAATGAATTCTCTCTTTTTCTTCTAGCATTCCCTTTCTCACTTTTCATCCTCGATGATCCTCGGGGGTCCCTTCCAGCCTATTCCATGATCCTGTAAATTATAGAGTGGTTTGGGTTGGAAGGGACCTTAAAGCTCATCTAGTTCCAACCCCCGTGCCATGGAGGGGGGACAGATTCCCCCTGGTGAGCAAAGGCCAAACGTGGCCATGGGTTTCCCCTTCCCAGCTCTGCTCATCCCCCACCACTTCTGCCCCTTTCCCCTGCCCAGAGCGTGGTGCTGACGGTTCTGTGGGTTGTGTTGCAGGTGTGGCTGTGTGGGGGCAGCATGGAGGTCCTGCCCTGCTCCAGGGTGGCCCACATCGAGCGCAAGAAGAAGCCCTACAACAACAACATCGGGTTCTACACCAAGCGCAACGCGCTGCGCGTGGCCGAGGTGTGGATGGACGACTACAAGTGGCACGTCTACATCGCCTGGAACCTGCCCCTGGAGGTACTGAGGCCTTCAAATCTATAGGAAATAAGTTTTAGGATAGCTTGCTAGCACCTTCAGCTTGCCAGTGTTCCCAAAATTCCTAAAAATGCTGTTTAACATCCTTTGTTAAGGATCTCGACAGACAAGGGGGTTTAATGAGGTGTCTGTAAATATGTACTGAGAATGAGACACAACATTTGGTATAAGTAGTCAAAGCTGCTCAGGAGCCTTGAAACCCTCCCAGAAGGGTCAGAGGAGATGAGGAGGAAGATGAAGAAGATGAAGATAAGGAGTTTTTGGGACCTCTGACTCACATTCAGGAGGCGTGGTGAGGGTTGTACAAAGGGAGGGACAGTTTTGGAAGTGGGTGTAACAGTATTAGGTAGTGCTTTGAATTTTTAATTAGGTAATGCTTTAAGTTGGTAATTAGGTAACTAATAAAAACAAGAGGCTTTGGTAGCTCTGGAGTCAGGCTTTGGAAGAAATTAAGATTCTCGTGCATCTGACGTCGTAATAATAATAAAAGGAATAATAGTAAAACTCACAAATTGAGTCTTAGGGGTTTTCTTTTAAGTGCTGATTTTAGGCATCAGCCCAGCCAAGGCACCCTGTCCTGAGTTTTCACTTCACTTCTTAAAAACTTGAATTATAGAGCATTTAGTGCCCCTGGTGCAGGAGAGCCTGAACCACCCTGGGTTGGTGGCTCACAGGAGATCCCCTCCCAGCAGCACCACGGGCAAGTGCCCCAAAACACTCTCTTGAAACAGCTTTGGTGGTTCAAATATTTCTGCACAGAAATGCTCAGGTTTTCTTAGGTCTGATAATGTTATTTTTGAAGTAAAACCCTGATGGGTTTTTTCCGTGATGGAAAACCACGGGATCCCACCAGCAGGTCAAGATGACCATGCCTGGAGGCACATCCTGCACGGGGACTGCTCAAGGTGGTGCCTGGCACTGCTGGGGAAAGCTCTGTAGGCTCCAGGAGGGCTTTGTGGAGATCCAAAGCTGCTGCTTGGGCTCAGCTCTCCGGGCAGGTTGTGTCTGATCTCGGAAGCCGAGGGCATCTCCTGCTGTCTGGATCCCCCTGGGAGCAGCCCTGGCAGGGCCAGGCCACATCTCCTGCTGCTGGTCCTGCCAGAGGAGGACAGAGGGGTGCTGGGGGTGGGGAGACAGGGATGCTCTCCAGGTTTTGGGTGGGATGAGGGTTCTGGGTGACCCCCCATGTGCAGTGGGTGACTGAGAGCTGGGCTGCTCTCCTCAAGTGTGAGGTGAAACCATTGCCAGGAGTGTCCAGAGCCCGTGTGAGCAGTTATTTCCAGCCACCCTCTCGGTGCTAAAAATAACCCCCAAAATATTCCTACTTGGCAGATCTCAGCAAAGAGCTGCTGGGATCCTGATCCTGATCCTGATCCTGATTCTGCTGTGCTGCAGCAGCATCCTCAGCTGGCAGCATCTGCTCCAGGGCCTCTGGAAAAACAGTACAACCTAAAAAATCTGAGCTGCTGCTGCTTCCTGAGGAAAGGTTACACCTGCAGAGAGTTCCTGGCATTTGGAGCCACAGTAGTCCCAGAATTTGTACAGAATTGGAGAACAGGTACCTGGGAAGGCTCCATGAGCCGCCTGTGCTGCAGGTTGGTGGTCCTGGGGGTGCTGGGAACTCCTGGGGTAGTTGGTATAAAAATAGGAAGAAATAGATGCACAGAGATGGAAGGAAAAGCTGTTTGCCCAGGGAGCTGCAGGAGGGCACTGCCTGCCACGGGCACTGCTCCAGCTGCTGGGAGAGGAGCTGTAGGACTGAGGGAATTTAGGGATCTCTGAAAAGAGATTTCAAGACCTAAATGCCCAGAACTAGAGATCTTAAATCCTGATCTTCAGTCTGATTACTGTTTAGAGGTGAGGCACCACCAACCTGCTCAGGAACAGCTTTGGAGCAGGGCAGGAAGGGCTTAAAACCCATTGGGAAGCTGCAGGTCCTGTAGAGCTCGGAAAAGGCAGCAGCACAGGGATCAGCACTGGGGGTGGGTCTGGGTAACCCAAAATCAATTGGAGATTTTAAAGACCAAAAAAAAAATCCAGATTTAATTTTCGAGCAGCCTTGTTTGCTGGGGTGGGATTTTATACACGGAATTCTTTTGTGATGCTACTGAATTCCAACCCAAGGCAAACCCCTGCCCTGCTATTTCAGATGCTGCCTGACTGATTTGTTGTCCACTCAGATTTCAACCTACCTGCCTTACCTGTCTGCACTGAATCATCTTTATTTTTACCTCTCAGCTACCAGTGGCACATTAAAATGGTGTCTTTTCTCAAGCAGAGTGAATAATTCATTAGAAGATCATTACAAGTGTTGTAATGGAAAATTGCTTTCCCAGTTGTATTTAATGATCACTGCAAAGACAAGAGCAGGAGCTAAAATAGAGCAGAAACCCAGATACCTGTAGGAAGGAGGAAAAGGGGCTGCAATGTGCCTTTGGCTTCCTTGCTGCTGCATTAGCTCCCCAAATTCCATGATGGAATAAGAGGTTAAAGGGGTGCAGCTCTCTCCAGCCCCTGCTCCCAGGTCCTGTAGGATTATCCCTCAGGGACAGCTTTGCTTTTCAATCTGCTCAAGCAGTGGGTTCCTCCATGTCTCCAGGGGGACTTTTTCACCCTGGAATTGTCCAAATGGTCCGGAGGTTTTTCTGAGGTTCAGCCTCACCGTCTGTCCCTGTGGAATGTTTATCCCAAATCCTTGGCTCTGTTATATTGGAATCTTCAACCTTTCTGCTTCTTTCTTTCCCCCCTTAGTTTCTACCTTTGAACCCTCCTCTGTTTGTGTCTCAGTGGGGTCACACCCCCGTGGGGGGGGGGTCAGGGAAGGGGTTTGGTGCTCAGTGCCCACACAGGGGTTGGCATTCCCACCTTTTAAACCCTGATGTCCATTTGCTGCTGGAAGTCTGAGCCTAAACAACCTTATTGTTGTGCCCTTCCCTTCCCTTCCCTTCCCTTCCCTTCCCTTCCCTTCCCTTCCCTTCCCTTTCTTGTTTGTTTATTTGGGATTTTTACATGTTTGTTTGGTTGTTGTGCATTTTTTCCCCCTTAACAAAATATTATGGAAAAGCACATGTTTCTCAGTGTTTCTCAGATGGATCCAAAGCCCAAAGGGAATCAGGGAGAAGATTTCCCATCATTACTGCACCTCCCATATTTCCTCCACAACCTTTCTTTCTCCATTTGGCTTCTCTTTCCTAAATTATCCCCAGGACCAGAGCATGTCCCACCTGGTGGCCATTGCAGGGGTGTCCCTAAACCCCAGGAGAGAAGTTGGTGTCACCTCCTGGCTGTGGCTCTGAAAGCCACGTTTTCCTTGGGATTCTTGTGAGGATGATTTCAGCCAGAATTCCCTGGCATGGCCTCTTCATGGAGCTTCCAGGCAGTTTGGAAAGGGCCTCAAAACATCAGTGAAATACGTTCCTTTTTAATCTTTTTGAAAAGTAACCACTCCGTGATGTGCTGTGTCCTTATTTTTCAGAATCCAGGGATTGACATTGGGGATGTTTCTGAGAGAAAAGCATTAAGGAAGAGCCTGAAGTGTAAAAATTTCCAGTGGTACCTGGACCACGTTTATCCAGAAATGAGGAGATACAACAACACCATTGCTTATGGAGAGGTAATTAAGGCTGAGCAGCCCCTGAGCTCAGACTGGTAATATTTCTCTGATGAGAAATAGCCTCAAAGGAGAGGAATGTGAATCAAAACTGACTATTTGTGTCTAATTATATAAATTTGTAGCAATCTGTTACCAGTTTCTTCTAAAAACCTGTTTGGGGATTTATTTCTGATCTCGGAGGCCATATAAAGTAAAATATTTTAATACATCATTTACTGAATTGACAGAAAATTATCTGTATTTCCCATTGACTGCCTGGATTAAGCAGCTGTTTGTATATTTTTAATACACAGTCATCTTATAAAACCCTGTGACTTAAGCTCAGCCTGATTCCTGACAAGGTCTCTGTAGGATACAGTGTGTTGTCACAACAGCTTAAGGACAAGATAAAGTAAGGAGACTTAATTCAATCTCTGCTGGCTTTGAAACCGTTCTGAGAATATAGAAACAGGCATTTATGGGAACTAATAATAAATCCTCTGTTGCAATGGATCTGATGGAATAGTGGCAGTCGGAGGAGGCTCCTTGAAGCACAGCCTGAGCCTCCCAGATGGGAATAATTTTAGGAAAGATTCGTAATCAAAGTTACTTAAAGCCTTCAAGCTAAAACCTCCCAACAAGGATTTGCACAGAATAACAGAATCCTAAAATGCTTTGGGGTGGAAGGGACTTTAAAGCTCATCCAGTTCCACCCCCTGCCATGGGCAGGGACACCTTCCACTAGCCCGGGTTGCTCCAACCTGGCCTTGGACACTTGCAGGGATGGGGCAGCCACAGCTTCTCTGGGCAACCTGTGCCAGGGCCTCCCCACCCTCACAGTCAACAACTCCTTCCCAATATCCAACCTAAACCCACTCTCTGTCAGTTTGAAGCCATTCCCCCTTGTCCTGTCCCTCCATCCCTTGTCCCCAGTCCCTCTCCAGCTCTCCTGGAGCCCCTTTAGGCCCTGGAAGGGGCTCTCAGCTCTCCCTGGAGCCTTCTCTTCTCCAGGTGAACCCCCCCAGCTCTCTCAGCCTGTTTCCAAAGGCATTTTTGCATTATGGCCCCGCCTGGGAAGCCTGGAGAGAGGAGAGGGGAGAGCTCTGGAGAGAGGAGAGCTCTGGAAAGGGCAGAGCTCTGGGGACCAGCCCTGGTGCCCAGGGTTGGTGGCTGTTTGACTCTGTACCACAAACCCACCCTGCTCTGACCCCTCCAAAGTGTGTCCCTCAGTTCATGACAGTGCTCTGCCATCTCTGCCTCTCCTCCTGCATCCCTCCTTTTTTTTCCAAGCTGGACTTTTCCCCCCTGCCGTTCAGTTTTCACCAAAATCTGAGCAATCCTGCATTGATTTTGGGCTCCTGGCAGCCTAAAACTGGCTTTGTTGCCACTACACATGAGCAAAGAGAAGAAAACTGTGTCCAGGGAAACTGGCTCCTTGGAATGGTGATTATTGTGTAAAATCAACCACCATTAGCCCTGGATTTAAAGAAAACACACAGTGCACTAAACCTTTCCCTGCCCGATTATTCCCTGTGATAGAACACCTCCTACAGCAGGAGAGGGCTGAGCATCTTTTGTTCCTTATCTCTGATGAGACAGGGCCATAACTCTGCTCTTTTTCTTTCTTCCAGCTCCGAAACAACAAGGCCAAGGACGTGTGCCTGGACCAGGGCCCTCAGGAGAACCACACAGCAATCCTGTACCCATGCCATGGCTGGGGGCCTCAGGTGAGGGGGCACAGAGGGCACAGCAGGCTGTGGAACTTGTCTGTTGGCTTCATTCTCCAATGGATCAGGCCCAGCTTCTTGTTTAAAAACACCTCAGGTATCACAGGGAATTTTCCCAGCTGCTCTTCAAGTCCTGATTTTCTGGATTCTGCCAGAATCATGGCAGAGCTGCAAGTTAAAGTTTGGAAAAAAAATCTTCCAGGCAAGGGTAAATGATGATGGAAGCAAATAGCCCATGATCAGGACACAATCCAACACCAGTTAGGATGGGGATCTGAGCACCCTGGGATAGTGGAAGGTGTCCCTGCCTGTGGCAGGGGTTGGAACAAGATGATCCTTAAGGTCCCTTCCGACCCAAACCACTCCATGATTCCCTGATTCTTCCCAGCCCAAACCATTCCATGATTCCCTGATTCTTCCTCTTTCACCCAGCAGAATAAAAATGGCCCAATGGGATAAAGCAAACAAACAGTGCTGTGATAATTCTCCATCTCAGCTTGGCTGGGATTTCCCTTTGCGTGACTTTTCTACCGCTCCTTTTGCCTCTCCAAAATGTTGGGGTATCTGGGGTCCACCACGCTCAAGGAGGTTCATTTTCAGCTAAAAAATGTAGAGTTCAAGTGATGGAAATGCATGAAGATCCCATTCTCACTCCATGGTCACCCTGGGCTTTCCAGGCTCACCAGGACTGAGGAATCCCAGAGTTCATCTGAGCCTGAACTGGAAAATTCAGGAGCCACCTGAGCCTGGGAGTGAGCTGTGGGAGATAATCTCCCTTTGGTTTATCCCTGCCTCTGAACAAAGATCAGGCAGGTGGGGCTGATCCAGTCACTGCTAAATATAACAAAGCTGGTGCTTAAATGCACACAATTTTTTTTCTCAAATGGCACAAACTGCCTTTTGGACTTTGTGGATGGAAACTTCAACCTCTAAGTGCATTATGGGGTGAGAAACTGGATTACCTGACATTGCCTGCTAACCCTGGGCTCTGAGACGAATGCCTGAAAGCAGGTTATTTATTTTTCCCTCAGTTATTTTGATTAAATTTAACTATGTTTTCTTCTCCTACCTGAAGTTCTGAAGCCAAACCTGGCAGTGCTGCTGACTCCCTTCATGCTTCCCATTGTCCAACCTCAGCACAGATTCTTCCTGGTCTTCCCTCTCCACGTTGTCCCTTCCCTCTTCCCACTGAGAGCCAGTTCTTGGCAGTTCTTTTGTTTCATGATACATTCCATGAGTTAAACTCCTTGGAAATGCTTTTTTGGAGTAGTTGTCAGTGAGTGCAGAGCTTTGAAATTTGCAGCAAAAATTGACCTTTCTCTACAACTGTTTAATTAATGGGCTGCTTGTTGTAATTTATTGCTGGGAATGTAATGTAAACACTTGTTATATATAAATATATATATATATATTTATAAAATTTTTATTCATTTTTAGATATATATATAAACCCACAAGGAATTGCAATTCCTTTGGAGTTGTTCAGCCTCCCAAAGCACACACGGTGGTGCTCAAGTTGCACATCATGTCCCGAAATCCCCCTTTCTCTCCTTGATCCTATGGCCCATCCCAGACATGTTTGAAGTTTAATTTTAACTAAATTTAGTTTAATTAAGAGCAGGTTCCTCAGCAGCAGATGAGGGGAAGGTGTGGGTTCCCTGCTGGCATTGTCATGGGGTGAGGACAGGGGGCTGTGGATCCCATTCCCTGCCGTGCTGGGGGTGGTGGGATGTTCTTGGAAGTCCTTGTTCTTTCCAAGTCTATCCCCACACCATCCTTCTGTCTGTAGATCCACAGCCCACCTGGGAGAGAGAGGGAATGACCTGCAGGGGGGGATTTTTGCCACTTATCCCATCAACATAGTGCAGTTTGTGCTGGATCCTGAATTTCTGCTCTCTCCTACTCCTGGGTTTAAGCTCGGCCTGGAGCACTGATCTGGATACAGCTGTGTGTGCTTGTTCTTTCCAAGTCTATCCACACATCATCCCTCTGTCTCTAGAAACACATGAAAAGAGGGGGAATGACCTACTCTGCAGGGAGGGATTTATCCCATTTATCCCATCAAGGCAGGGCAGTTTGTGCTCGATCCTGAATTTCTGCTCTCTCCTCACTGCTCCTGGGTTTAAGCTCAGCCTGGAGCACTGAGCTGGATGCAGCTGGGTGTGCTTGTTCTTTCCAAGTCCATCCCCACATCATCCTTCTGTCTGTAGATCCACAGGGTGATGGTGGGAATGACCTACCCTGTGGGAGGGGATTTATCCCATCCAGGCAGGGCAGTTTGTGCTCTATCCTGAATTTCCGCTCTCTCCTGCTCCTGGCTTTAAGCTCAGCCTGGAGCCCTGAGCTGGATGCAGTTGAGTGTGGTGGCCCTGAATGCAGATGAGACCTTGGCTTTACTCACAGCTCCTCCTCTGTATCACTTACCAGTGACATTTTAGGGGGTTTTCTCATGTTTTCTCTTTAGCTTCCCCTTCTCTCTGCTTTCATTCGCTTCCAGGTCAACTCATGACCAGATTCCATCATGAAGTATCCTTTTATCCTGTAATTATGTTCAGCCTGCTGATGGATATTTTTTTTTTCCTGCCTGATGGCTTCATCTTTGAAGCAATTCATCATGCAAACACCTTGCAGTAATGATGTATTACACTAATAATACAGTAATACCTCATTGGAGTGACAGAACTATGGTGATGTATTAAGGTGATAGAAAGCACTATAATACTATAAAACTTAAGATAATGTTCACCCAGCAGAGCATTTCATTTAATTATAGGATAAAATATGTTTTGCCCATTTAGGCAGCAGAACCTGAGGACAAACCCATCAATACTGGGATCATGTGGGACACAGGTGACGAAACAGCACATCAGATTAAATTGTGTTAAAAGGCAAATAGTGAACATTTTCCTGAGGGCTGTTAATTGATGGGCTGCTCAGTGCAGAAGGGAAGCCAAACAACCCTAAATTATTTTCCAATAGAGTCAATGAAGGTCAGCAAGGCTTTTATTTCCCAGGTGCTAAAATGTCTAATTAACTTTCTCCCCTCCCTGGGATGCAGCCAGGCAGAAATAATAATCCCACAGGATGGATTGGGGGGGCAGGTTTGCTGGGGGGGATCAGCCTGAGCTCTGTGTCCCTCTGCTCCCCCTGGATCAGGGGGCTGGGGGTCCCTGGGAGAATAAGTCCCCTGAGGAGCAGCTGAGGGAGCTGGGGGGGCTCAGCCTGGAGAAAAGGAGGCTCAGGGGGGACCTTCTGGCTCTGCAACTCCCTGACAGGAGGGGGGAGCCGGGGGGGGGTCGGGCTCTGCTCCCAGGGAACAAGGGACAGGAGGAGAGGGAACGGCCTCAAGCTGTGCCAGGGGAGGGTCAGGTTGCACATCAGGAGAAATTTTTTCCTAGAAAGGGTGGTCAGGCACTGGAAGGGGCTGCCCAGGGAGGTGGTGGAGTCCTCACCCCTGGAGGTGTCCAAGGAAGGACTGGCCATGGCACTCAGTGCTCTGGGCTGGGGGACAGGGTGGGGATTGGGCACAGGGTGGACTTGATGATCTTTTCCAGCCTAAAGGATTCTGTGATTCCCCCCAGGGCAAAGCAGCCCCCCAAAGTGGTACCTGAAAGGGTGGAATTTTTCAATATTCAGTTTGACCCAGATTGTGATTTAACTGGAAGGATGTTCCCGGAGGCTCCGGGTGTCAGTCAGTGTGTCTGGCTGGGGATGTGGCTTTGGGCCACTGGGATTGAGGAAGGGGTTTAAGACCTCCCCAGTATTAATCACTTTTAAATGGTTAACTTGGTAAGAGCTTGAAACTGTTCTCCTCTGGTCCTTTGTCTTGGTTTTCCCTTTGTTTCTTGTCCTGTGCCGGGCTGGGTTGGGATCCTCAGCTCTGGAGAGGAGCAAAATAACAAAAGAATTAGGGCATGGAGCACCTTTTCTCTGGAGCCAGGCTGGGAGAGCTGGGGGTGTTCACCTGGAGAAGAGAAGGCTCCAGGGAGACCTGAGAGCCCCTTGCAGGGCCTAAAGGGGCTCCAGAAGAGCTGGAGAGGGACTTGGGACAAGGGATGGAGGGACAGAACAAGAGGGAATGGCTTCCCACTGGCAGAGGACAGGGATAGATGGGATATTGGGAAGGAATTCTTGGCTGTGAGGCTGTTGAGGCCCTGGCACAGGTTGCCCAGAGAAGCTGTGGCTGCCCCATCCCTGGAAGTGTCCAAGGTCAGGTTGGAGCAACCTGGGCTAGTGGAAGGTGTCTTTGCCCAGGGCAGGGAGTTGGATGAGATGATCCTTAAGGTCCCTTCCAACCCAAACCATTCCAGGATTCTCCAACTCTGTGTAAACATCCCAAAAGAAGAAAATTGTCTGAGGAGTTTGTTAGACAAGTTAGACAGGAGTTTTTGGGAATAATCACCCTCAGGTTTGCAGTGGGACAGGCTTGGAGGCTGCAGTGGCTGTTGCTGAACCTCTGTCAGGGTCCAGACACATGTTGGGGGCTTCCTTTTCCTCTTTTACACAGTAGATGACACATCAATAGATGCACTTGCTGCATCATATCCATGTTTGTTTTCCAGCTCATCCCATCTCCCCTCCCGTCTCCCTTCCTGCTCCGTTCCCGCAGAAGGGTTGGATTTTTGCTCTACTTATTTTTCCCACCACATTAGGCAATAACATGTCAGAGCAGAACTCGTGGTGCCTGGTGGGCACGGGGCCAACTGTCTGAGGACAGGCTGCCAAATCCCATAAAAAAGGGAAGCGTCTGGCACGCGAATCCCGAACGTGGCAGGAAACGTTTCGGGAACGGGAGACGGCGAAGAACTCGCGTTGCACATTTGGGACATCTGGGTGGTTTCTTCCTCTGTCATGGAGAGAGCTGGTCTTTTTTTATTTTATTTTATTGTACCTGTTCCTTTCTGAGAGACAAGGAGTCTTGTCATAGAATCCCAGAATCCCAGAATGGATTGGGTTGGAAGGGACCTTGAAAGGACATTTAGTCCAACCCCCTGCCATGGGCAGGGACACCTTCCACTAGCCCAGGTTGCTCCAACCTGGCCTTGGACACTTCCAGGGATGGGGCAGCCACAGCTTCTCTGGACAACCTGTGCCAGGGCCTCCCCAGCCTCACAGGGAACAATTCCTTCCCAATATCCCACCTATCCCTGCCTCTGGCAGTGGGCATCCATTCCCCCTTGTCCTATCACTCCAGGTCCTTGTAAACAGTCTCTCTCCATCTTCTTGTCGCTCCTTCAGGCACTGGGAGGCCACAGTTGGGTCACCCCAAAGCTTCTCTTCTCCAGGCTGAACAATCCCAATTCTCTCAGCCCAAGTTGACACTGATGTCCAGTTCTTAAAAATGTTGAGTTTTTGCAGATTTCTTGAATTTTCCTATGAATAAAGAATCAGAATCCTGGAATGGTTTGGGTTGGAAGGGACCTTAAAGCTCATCCAGTCCCACCCCCTGCCATGGGCAGAGACACCCTCCACTACCCCAGGGTGCTCCAAGCCCCGTCCAGCCTGGCCTTGGACACTCCCAGGGATGGGGCAGCCACAGCTTCTCCGGGGGCAAAGCTGCCCCATCCCATCCCCCAGTGCAGCATCTGCCCTTGGCCCCCCCAGGGCCCTTTGCCAGCTGGTGCAGAACAGTTGTTTCTCTTTAGCCTGACAGTAATTTCCCCTCCAAACTGCTGGGGTGGAAAGGAGGACAACCTGCAGAGTTTAAAGTCATAACCATCACCTCCTCCTCCCCCACCCATTCCCTGTCTCCCCCAGGCATGGAGTGCCCAAGTGCAGGATGTGGATCCTCTCCCACCCCGAGCTCAGCTCACCCTGTGCTGGGCTTCCAGCTGTGCCCGAGGCTGGAGCAAGCTGGGAATGACCCCAGGGCACCTCCAGCCCAGCTGAGGGCTCAGTTCCCATGTCTGTGTTCAGCAGCTGGACGTGTCCACGGGCCAAGCCTGGAGGCAGATGGTGCTCAGAGCCTGGCAGTGTGATTTGAACCAGGCAGCTCATCTGACAGAGCATCTGAGCACCACATTCCCAGCATTCTGGGGCTCCCAACATAAGGAGGACATGGAAGTGTGGAGCAAGTCCAGAGGAGGGCCTAAAGTTGAGGGGGCTGGAGCACCTCCCCCATGGAGACAGGCTGAGGAATTTGGGTCTGTTCAGCCTGGAGAAGAGAAGGTTGTGTGGAGACCTCCAGAACTACAGGGAAGCTGGAGAGGGAGTGTTCACCAGGAACTGGAGTGATAAAACAAGGGAAAATGGGTTCAAAGTGAAAGAGGAGAAATTTAGGTTGGATATATGGAAGGAATCCTCCCCTGTGAGGGTGGTGAGGCCCTGGCACAGGTTGCCCAGAGAAGCTGTGGCTGCCCCATCCCTGGGAGTGTCCAAGGCCAGGCTGGAGCAACCTGGGCTAGTGGAAGGTGTCTCTGCCCATGGCAGGGGGTTGGACTAAATGTCCTTTCAAGGTCCCTTCCAGCCCAACCCATCCCATGGTTCTCTGATGGTGCTGTGGGGCTGCTGCACTGAACCCTCCGGGGGGTGAAAGCTTTTGGCAAATGGCCCTCGGTGAGATGTGAAAGAGCAGAGGGTTTGTTTGATGCCCAGCATGTAACTCCCCAGCCTGTGGGAGCAGAGCCAAGCCCCCATCCCAAGGGATTTGGGCAGCACCATCCCCGGATCCGTGGTTACGAGCCAGAGTCGGACCCTGTTACATTGTTTTAACTTGATTTTCAGTGTTTAATTATTCCAGCCCAGATAACCCAAACTCCCAGTGTGATTTACTCTCTCTCTTTAAGCATCTGGGTCACAGATATGCTCAGTTAATTAACGTGCTGAATCCTCCTTATTTGTCTGCCAGATAATGGCCTGATTCATAATTTAAAGAAGCAGCAGTGGATATCTTTCCCTTGTACCATAAAAGGCAGGACAGTGTCATTCATTCCTTTTTACTCCTGAATTTAAATATTTTAGGGAAATATTTGGGTGGGATTCCTTAAACCCTGAGAATGGAGGAGCCCTTTGTGTGTGACCCCAAGGTGGGGATGTGTCAGTGCCTGCTGATGTTTCAGTGCCAGCACCAGCTCTGGTGCTCCCAACCTGCATCTCCTTGGCACCTGAGCCAGGTCTCTTGGAGCACTGGATGGTTGGATGCTGGGATATGCTGGGATCAGCTGCAATCCCGAGCCTTTGCTCGGGGCTGAGCTGTGGGGGTGACTCGGGCTCACATCCCTGGGGAACAGGGCCAGGTCTGTCCCGGTCCCCTTTGGCTGACGGTGCTGCCCAGCCCTGTTGGAGCTCTGGAGGCTGTGCCAGGCACACCTGGGGCACCAATCCAGGCCAAAGCCAGGCTGGCTCACCAAGCTGGGTCAGCAATACGAGCCAAGCCAGCTGGCTCCAGCTGGAAACCAGAGGAAATCATCCATGGCCCCATCCTACGGTGTTCAGGCCCAAAGGAGGATGGAGGAGTCACAGGATGTGCTGAGCTGAGAGGGACCCCCAAGGATCATGGAGTCCAACCCTCAGCCCTGCACAGGCCCAGCCCCAAGAGTCACCCCCTGTGCCCCAGAGGATCAGCCAAACCCTCCCTGAGCTCTGGCAGCCTTGGGGCCGTGCCCACTGCCCTGGGGAGCCTGGTCAGTGCCCAACCAGCCTCTGGGGGAAGAACCTTTGGCTGAGATCCAACCTGAGCCTGCCCTGACACAGCTCCAGGCCATTCCCTGGGTGCTGTCCCTGGTCCCCCCAGAGCAGAGCTCAGTCCCTGCCCCTCCTCTGCCCCTGCCCAGGATGTTGGAACTGCAGTGAGGTCTCCCCTCAGTCTCCTGTTCTCCAGCTGAACACACCAAGTGCCCTCAGTGTCCTCCCACGGCTTCAAATCAAGGCCCTTCCCCATCCTCGTGGCCTCCTTTGGACACTCTCTAATGGCTCAATCCCTTCCCTACATTGTGTCCCCCCAAACTGCACCAATGTTGCAGGTGAGGCCACCCCAGGGCAGAGCAGAGCCAGACAATCCTGATGGATTTAAGGTTCAGAGTTATTATTACCCCTTCCCTGTGTCTCATCTCCCCACCTTTTTTTTTGCATCTGAAAAAAAAACCCAAAAAACCAAATCAAGGCTAAAAAGGCTGGATAAAGTTGTTTTTTTCCCTCTTTTCAGTTCCACTTTCCCTGTGCCCCATCCCCACAGTTATGTCCTTTCCTGTATCACTTTAGTGATGCTCCCACGGTGCTGATGTTCCTTTCTGTCCTCCCCTGCCCACAGCTGGCACGTTACACCAAGGAGGGGTTCCTTCACCTGGGCGCCCTGGGCACCACGACCCTGCTCCCGGACACCCGGTGCCTGGTGGATAATGGGAAGAGCCGCTTCCCGCAGCTCCTGGACTGTGAGAAGGTCAAGAGCAGCCTCCACAAGCGCTGGAGTTTCATCCAGGTGTGTTCCAAGTCTGCTTCCCAAACCCTGGGCTGGGGCACCTCATCTGACACGAGATGGTGTGGGACAACTGATCCCATGGAATGGCAGGTGCCAGGTCCTTAAGGCATTGGGAAAAGGTGAAGAGGGATCAGGGGCAGGATTTCGGGTCCATTTCCAGTAGAAGTTTTCCTTTCTGATGCCATAAAGGTGGATCTGGTTACATCTGGTGGATGTAGCCTGCCCTGCCAATGACTCACGGATTCCTTATGGATAATCTCCATGAAAACACAGTATTCTTGTGCCAAGGCAGAGTGTAAATAATCTACATTGTACACAAGTGTCCCACCTTCCCAACACAGGGAATTTAAAGGTTCCAGATGTTCCTTGGGTGCTTTATGGATGCTCATTCCACTCCCATTATTTATTTTAGGAATCATTTCATTGTTGGAATTGCATTTCCACCCAGCTAAAGCCCAAGGATGTGTCTGCACCCCTGGGTGCCAACCTGATTTGCCTCACGGGCAACCCAACGTCCTAATTTTTTTAATGCTTTCCTCATATCCTTTAATTTTAATTTATTCCTTTAATTTTAATTTATTCCTTTCATTTCAGAACGGTGCCATCCTGAACAAGGGCACGGGGAGGTGCCTGGAAGTGGAGAACAAGGGAATGGCTGGAATCGATCTGATCCTTCGCAGCTGCACAGGACAAAGGTGGACAATTAAAAACTTCATCAAGTAAAGGCTGAAAGAGTCAGGGGAGTGTCACTCCAACCACAGCTGACCTAGACTGATCCGACGGGACTCCTTTGGAAAGGATGGAATATCAAAACAGAGCTTTATTCATATTATCAGGAGAGGACATGGGGGAAATGGGCATCGCTGTCTTTCTTTTGTTGTGTTGAAGTCTCCCCCAGCTGATCCCAGCTGTGTGAAACTGGGGCAGAACTGCTGTTCCCTTCTGCAGAGCACTCGGGAAGGGGCCACTTGTTGCTGCTGGGACGACTGGAATGAGCTCCTGCAGCCCCGGGAGCGTCGTACTGACAGGGAATTGTTGCTTTCCCAGACAACTCCAAGCCCTGCCAAAGGGCTGGGTAGGTTCAGGGTCATCCACCCTGGATACACCTGCCTGGCAAGGGTGAAAACTTGGATGCTTGTGAGAGGAAAATGGTCACCAGGCCCAAAGGAGAGGAGGTTGAAGGATGTGCTGTTTTGCTGGGTCCTTGCTCTCTTTTCCCTTCCTTGCCCCTGCATCCAGCAGCCCCTTTCCCAAGTGCTGGAGAAACAAAACATACCCTTCATCCCCCAGCTCTTAATCCCAGATATCCTCAAACAAAATGCCACTGAATAAACCCACTGATCTCCCATTTCCCCCCCTCCCTCACCCATGTGCTGAGCAGCACCAGTCCCTCCCATGGAGACCCCAAATTCCCCTTGGGAACCATGTGGGATGTCTGCCTACCCTTTGGGGATATCAGGAATGGTGGTCTCCCTAACTCTGTAGTGGTGTCCTCTTCCCTGTCCTGCCTTCTCTGTGTGTCACCGTGGTCAAGGTCCTCCCCAGACTGTCCTTGTCCCTTCGGACCTTCCCGAGCTCTGGAAGGACCAGAGAGGGAGGGCAAGAGACCAAAAAAATGGCACTTGGGCTGAAATTCTTGACCTGCAAGTCACTTCAGGCTTGTTAATATGGTGGACTGGTCTCACAATAATTTTGGCTGCCAAATCTTGGCTCCCAAACCCACCCAATCGTCACGGGAGACCATTGTTTGGGGCCCTGGTGTCTGGCTCACCTGGAAAAGGGAAACATGGTCCTGCACAATTGCTGCCCATGGATGGACACAGGCCTTGCCCAGCAGAGAGGAGAAGCCAGCCCTTCTCCTGTCCTTCTCACAGAATAGTACTCCTTCTGGTTGCCCTCTGGCTAGGGTGCACTAAAATATATTAATATATGAGATGTATGTGTAAATATGGTTCCCAAAGATGGGATGTGCACAGAGTTGTTTGCTGCAGAGCACTCATGCCTGTCTTCCATTTGCATCAGGATGAAGCTACCTGGATGTTTAATGAGTTTAATTTTCAATGCCATGCAGCAGGTTTATAACTGATGTTTTAGTAATTTATTGAACAGAAGCAGATATATTTCATTGTTCCTTCTACAGCAACGTAGGACTGATTGTTCATTTAGGCTTTACAGGATTCCCTCAAGCATTGAGGTTGTCCCTGATTTTTTTCCCTTGCCTTCCTTAATGAAGTAAAACCTCTTAGTTGTCCTGAACTGCAAAGTAGGGAGTCAATGTAGAATTTTGCTCTCCTTCTTCGCTGTTGCATCATCTCTCGTGTAATAAATCTCAGCCCTTACCAACCCGATATGATCACAAATCTTTAGATGCATGATATGTTTTCCCCCTTCCATTTGTTGCTGCCTTCTAAGAAAAGCAATTTGCTGCTGAAGTGGACTCCAGGCAAGTCCGGGGGGTTGGTCAAACTGGTAAAAAGCCCTTTAATTGAGCAATCAGTTTGCTGTCAGTCACCAGCGGCAGCCACGTGTCGGTCAGAGGAGGGAAAAGCCTGCATGTTTCAGGATAAACAACCAAAAATGTTGCAGAATTCCTAGTTCCCACTCCAGCTCGAGTCCTGCCAGTGCCCAGGGCACCAGCAGATGGGCTTTGTCACATTTAATCGTGGTGGGATGAGGTGCCACCCCCCAGCCCTCCGTCTGTCCCGCTGCTGGCGGCTCCCGCCCTGTCACCGGCAGCACCACTGAATGTGTGGCTTCCCCTCGGCTCCCATCCCTGGCAGGAGCTGCTCCAGCTGCCAGGCAGGAGGGACTGGCTGTGTTTAGCTCTCTGGATCGTCACCACAGCCCCTCTGGGATGTCCCTGTGTCCAGCAGCCCCTGGCAGAGCATCTCCCGGCGCCATCGGTGCCGTCCCTGCGCTCAGGGGGCACAAGACGAGGATCCTGCTGGTGATGAGCTCTTTGATCCTTTATTAAGGTTCATAGACGCCTTTCCTTCATGCTCCATGTGGAAAACAACCCCCTGACTCTCCACAAGGAAGGGGAAGCTGGAAATGATCACTCAGAGCCCCCGCTGAGGTGTTTGCCCCTTGTCGCTGCTGTAATTGCAGCTTTCAACGACTGAGAAGAATCAGGAAAATCAGCACGAGCAAAATGAGGAATGAAAGTGAGAATTTAATCTGCTGTGTCCGTGTAAGTGAAATTCTGACACTGGTTTGTGACATGCAGAGGTGATTGCTGAGGCCACGGCCCGAGGTCTGCGCCCTCCGAAACCGTAGGAATCTGTCTTAGAAATCTGGGTCTAATTGTTGCATCTTGGCTTATCTCTAATAATATGTTAATTGCTTTAAGAAGTGATATCCAAGTGATTCTTATTAAATATATGATTTGAGCCTTGTCTCCTGAGTGGTTTTAAAAAGATTCACTGCTGATGAGATACAGAGGCAGTCATTCTTCTCTGGTACTTATTTAATAGAAAAATGCTGCTTTTTTAATGAAACTTCCACTTTTAAAAGAAATGGAAATGAAGGAGAAATCAAGAGAGATGGTGGACACAGATTAACTCCCATCCCATCCATCCCACTGCTGTCACTCACCAGATAACACAGTTAACATCCCAGAACTGAGAAGAGACGTGGTAAATAAAGCAGCGTCTGCAAACGTGTTCCTGAACCCAGGCTGGGTGTTCCTGAATGTTCCTAAACGTTACCTGGAGCTCAGGGCACTCCAACCCCCTTCCTCACATCCGTGTTCTCCTAAAAACCAGGTGCTGTGGTGCCCTGTAAGGAGAGTGAGGGATGGGCAGGTGCTTTCCTGGGCAGGAGGGAGGTGTCTCTGTGGGTGCCCCGGGTGACAAAGGCACCACAGCAGCTCCTCGGGTGGCAGCAGCAGCTCTTGCCCCGAGCTGGGGGCACAGCAAATGTGCCCATCACCCCAGGGAAGTGTCACCTCCAGCCTGGGCCTGGCTGGGCAGGGGGTGGGACATCCCGTGGTGGGATCTGTAGCCACAGGATCACCCAGGATGGAAACCTGTGCCCTTGTGGGGAGCATTTGACACACTCGGGGCTTCCTCAGGGGCAAGGTCCATGTCGGAAAACAGTTCAATCCAATGTGCTCCACAGCAGAGAATCACGGAATGCTTTGGGTTGGAGGGGACATTAAAGACCATCCTGTCCCACCCCCTGCCACGGGCAGGGACACCTTCCACTAGCCCAGGTTGCTCCAAGCCCTGTTCAACCTGGTCTTGGACACTTCCAGGGATGGGGCAGCCACAGTTTCTCTGGGCAACCTGTGCCAGGGCCTCCCCACCCTCACAGCCAACAATTCCTTCCCAATATCCCATCCAACCCTGCCCTCTGTCAGTGTGAAGCCATTCCCCCTTGTCCTGTCACTCCAGGCCCTTGTAAATGGTCTCTTTCCATCTCTCTTGTAGCTCCTTCAGGTCCTGGAAGGCCACAATTAGGTCTCCCTGGAGCCTTCTCTTCTCCAGGTTGAACAATCTCAGCTTTCCCAGCCTTTCCTCCCAGCAGAGCTGCTCCAGCCCTCTGATGCCTCCTCTGGACTCTCTCCAGCAGCTCCATGTCCTCCCTGTGTTGTTCCCCAGGGCTGGAGCAGCTCTGCAGGGGGGTCTCAGCTGAGGGGGCAGAGGGGCAGAATCCCCCCCTGCCCTCTGCCCACGCTGGGGGATCAGCCCAGGGCACAGGGTTGGGTCATGTCCAGCCTCTCCCCCAGGTCCTTCTCCCAGGGCTGCTCCATCTGCTCATCCCCAGCCTGGATTGATCCTGGGATTGCCCTGATCCAGGTGCAGCACCAGCACTTGGCCTTGTTAAACCTCAGGAGATTCCCAGGGGCCACTTCTGGAGCTTGTCCGGAGGGATGGTCCCATCCTCCAGGTGTGTCACTGCACCCTCACCCTGCAAACCTGCTGAGGGGGCCCTTGATCCCTTCATCTGTGTCATTCATGAAGATATTAAATAACACTGATGCCAAAACAGACCCCTGGCAGACACCACTTGCCCCTGGTGTCCCTCAGGGCTCTGAGTCATGGACCACCCTCTGGAGTCCACAGTGAGCTCTTCCCCTGCTGCTGCCCTTTGTGCTGCCCTGGGCAGAGAGCAGAACTTCCAGAAAGTTCCCTCTAAGCCCTCAAACAAAGTGAAACTCTCATTTCAAAGTCAGAGGTTTCACTGGTGGACTCCCAGCAGAAAAGCCTCTGCTCAGGCACGGAGCAATCTGGGCACTCGTCTGCTGCTGGGCACAGACTGAGCACTCCACTGGGCAGGGGGAAATGAGGCATCAGGAACCTCTGCAGCTCCTCTTGGCAGATGAGAAGCCATCCTTTGTTGGGCTGGGGACTGGGAAAAGCGTGTGTGGCCATTAGGAATCTCAGCTGGATTTCCAAGGACGTGGGCAGGAAGGATGAAGGGTCATTCCCTGTTGCTGCCAAACCAAAAGAGTCCTTTAAACATCAGAAAAGCTTCATGCCAGTTTTAGGGACATAAATAAACCCTTCCAGCCCCACCAGCCCGGTAAAGGTGAGGGGGCTGAGCTCTTTTTTTTTGTAGGGGGGCTGGTCCTGTGTGTTGGGAGAAGTGATTCCTGGAATCCCTGTTCTTATAAATGAAAAAAATCCACAAATTAATTGTGGCTTTCAGTCTTCCTACAGGCAGGAGCCACACAACCCTCTGGAGCCAGGGAAGCTGCTCAGCTCCTTCAGGTGTCCAGTGAAGTCAAGACTGGTGGGACTGGGATTTTAGTCAGGACTGGTGGGAGTGAGGAGCTGAGGAGCAAAGTGACCTCATCCTTCTAGGAACGGTCAGATAAAATACCAGAGCAGAGTGATGAGCTTCAGGGCCCAGCTCAGCATTCTCCAGTTCTCCAGGATATCCTGTCAGGAGCAAGTGGGTTCAGTGTCCCATCCCATGGGGATGACTGTGATAAACACCTGCCCATGTAGGAAAAGCAAAGAAAAAAAGGCTCAGTTCCTTCCCAACAGCTGGTTTGGGTTATTCATTCAAGCCCCAGCTGAGAATTTGGCCCAAGTGCTTTGGATCCCACTTGGAGCTGAGATCCTGCACAAGGCAGGGAAAATAATAACCTGGGCACTGGCTCCAGGGGCTCCTAAACTGCCAAATGTTTACTTGGAAGCCATGCAGGAATCACTCCCTGGAACAGCCACCCTGAGCCTCTGAGTCAAGTGTTTTTCCTTCAACAGAAGGGGGAATAACACAGAGAGAGAGATCCTACAACCCTGGGAGCTTTCCAGGGCAGGAGTTTCTTATTTCAGTCACATCTGGTGACTCTGAGACCTGATGGGTAATAGCTCCCCAAATGTCTTTCCTGGCTATTGTAATTCCAAGTTTTATTGTTATAGGCAAGTGTTTCACAGTTTCAAGAGCCCAGGCAGGGACTAATTCCTTATTGTTCTCCTCAGCAACCACAGCCAGGAGGGAATAGCAGTGGAGTGGGGACAAGTTGAGCTGTGCTGAGCTGCAGAACTGGCTCCAGCACCAAACTGGGGGCAACAACTGGCATCCTGAGGGTGGAACAGTCACCACGAGGATCCTTTGAGCCTCCCAGGGAGCCTGGGTTGTTTCCTGCATGGACAATGAGTGCTCAGAGCCTCATCCCGGGAAAAGTGGCCCGGTGATGGAGCTGTGCATGGCAGGGATGGAGCAGAGCTGCCACAGGGATCTCTGGCACAGCAGGAGCTTCCTGCAGAGCCGCTGAGCTGGGAGAGGCATGGTGAGTTGCTGGATGCCCACCCAGCTGCCCTCACCCCCCCTCCTTCCACAGCATGGCAGGGGGGAAAATCAGCTGGAAAAGCTGGTCAAGAGAAGGGCAGGGAGGTCACTCCCCAGGTGCCATCAGGGGCAAAACAGTCTTGATTTGGGGGAAAATAATCTCATGTATTGCAATTAAAAACAGGGTGGATGGTGAGAAACAAACTGAACCCACCTTCTTCCTAATGGCCCTGTTTTCCAGGCTCAGCTTCCCTGCGTCATTCCCAACTCTCCCACCCCTTCCTCACTCCCCAGGAGGTGCAGGTGGGTGGGGATGGGGGCTGCAGTTGATCCATCACACTTTGCCTGTTGGTCCTTCCTCACACGTTCCCCCTGTGCCATCGTGGAGTCCCTCCCATGGCATAAAGTCCTTCTTGAACTGCTCCAGCTGTGGATCCTCCCTGGGCCACAATTCCTGAAAGAAAACCTGATCCAGCCTGGGCTCTCCATGGGCTGCACCTTCCTCCAGGGCATCTCCACTTGCTTCAGCCTCCTCCAGGGGCTGCAAGGGGGTCTCTGCTCCCCCATGGACCCCACGGGCTGCCCTGGCACCCGGGGCACCTCCTGCCCCTGCTCCTGCCCCTACTCCTGCCCCCACCTCATCTCTGCAGGGCTGCTTCTCCCACATTTTCCTCTCTCCTCTCTCTCTCTCAGCAGCTGGGCAGCATTTTTTACCCTTCCGTAGCTCTGTCACCCCAGAGGTGCCACCAGCGTCCCCCCCGGCCTTGGCTCTGGCAGCACAGCAGGTTTGGAGCCAGCTGGACCCCAAATTCAACCCTGTCCTGCCCCCAGCTGGGACCCCCCGGCTCTGGGAGGAGAGCAAGGACAGGAGAGCTCGGGCTGGGGAGAGAGGGAGGGATGAGCGGGGAAAGGAGGGCTCCTTCCTGCCCTTTCTGGGAGCAACTGGGAGGAACCGAGGAGCTGTTCCACCTTCGGAGGGGTCTCCGGGCAGCGCTGGCTCCTCTCCAGCAGCAGGACACGGTGCAGCCCCGACCCTTCCAGACACCCCTGCTCCCCCTGCCCACCTTGCGCTGTCCCCGGTGGTCCCACAGGGCAGTGCCAGGCACAGCATCACCCTCCTGGTCCGTGCCCACGCCCAGCTCTGCCCCTCGGCTCCGGTGCCAGCTCACCACGACCTTCACTCCCTTCATGTTTCCCGCTTTGGTGCTATTTTTGTCCCACTTTCCCTTTGTCTTTTGTGCTGCCTCGTCTCAGTTTCTGTGTCTGGGGCTGCCTTACATCCCCCCTTTGTTCTCTCTCTGAGTTTGCTGCCGCTCTACCCCCTCTCATCCCTTTGTTCTCCCTGTGTTTTCCTTTGTTTGCTGCTTTCCTTTTGTTATTTCTTTTGATTGCTTATTTCCACTTCTGATTTTTTTTCCCGCTCTCCCTCACTCTTTCCTGTTTCATCTCTCTTCTTTTTGCCTCTTGCTTTGTTTTCCCCTTGTTCTTGTTCTCTCTCCTCGTGGTTTGCTCTCTGTGTATCCTCGTTTTGCTGTTTAAATTCCCCACCTCCCGCTTTCCTCCCCGAGTTTGCATTTGGAGTGGGAAAAAGTGGGAAAACAATGTTTCTTTCTTTAAATTTTAATCGTAGTGCCCATAATCCAAATCT